AAGAGACCGCCCGTGCCATTGGCAGGTCTATGGCAGCTATGGTGGCAGCGGAGAGGTATCTATGGCTGACCTTGTCAGTTATGAAAGAGAGAGACAAGGTCTGCCTAATGGACGCCCCGCTTGCGCCTTCTGGCCTGTTTGGCGACGCTGTCAATTCGGTCGTCGACAGGTACCAGGAGGCCTGTAAGCAGGCGGCGGCGTTCCAGCGGTTTCTTCCTCGCCGCTCTCTAGCTCTGGGGGCTGCTGGGCGAGAGCAGCCCCCTCCGGGTACCAGCTCCACATATAGGGGCGCGCAAAAACAGAGCGTGGCCTCGCGTGCTCCCCCGTGTCAAGACACGGGGGCGAGGCGACGCTCTAGGTCGGGGACCTCTAAGGCTAAGCCGGATCTTCGGACCGTACTTAAGTCTAAGAGGTTTTTCTTTATTAAATAATTTATTAATATTTATTTGGAAAATTGTCTTTGTCTACAAGCTACCAACTACAAACACTAATCAATTTCAAAATAAATGTGATATGTAACACATACACAAGTTTTGTTGTGGTCTTGCTGGGATCATACCAGCACCCAAAAGACAAAAAATGCTGGTCCACCAGCACACCAGCATCCCAAGCTGGTTCCAGCATGCAGAACATTCCTTATGCTGGTGACCAGCAATGCTGGATTTTTCAGCAGGGAATTCATAAAACAAACAACAGATCAAAACAGTATAGTACACTATGAAATCAAACAATGAAAACCACCTCCACATGTCGTTTGAATCAGATTGCGCAAATCTGATTTCTTTTTTTTTTTTTTTTTGCTGTCCAGACTTTCAAAAACCCATCTGGATATGCAAAAAAATAGAATTTCTACTGAGAGTCTGAACAAGGTTTTAGCATCACCATTACCTCTTAGCTCTGCTTGTTCGGCTTCATGTCATATGTGACCCTGGAGCACAAAAGCAGTCATAAGTAGCACAGGTATATTTGTAGCAATAGCCAACAATACATTGTATGGATCAAAATGATCAATTTTTCTTTTATGCCCAAAACCATTAGGATATTAAGTAAAAATCATGTTCCATGAAGATATTTTGTAAATTTCCTACCGTAAATATTTCAAAACTTAATTTTTGATTAGTAATATGCATTGTTAAGAACTTCATTTGGACAACTTTAAAGGTGATTTTCTCAATATTTAGATTTTTTTGCACCCTCAGATTCCAGATTTTCAAATATTGTCCAATCCTAACAAACCATACATCAATGGAAAGCTTATTTATTCAGCTTTCAGATGATGTATAAATCTCAATTTACAAAAATTGACCCTTATGACTGGTTTTGTGGTCCAGGGTCACATATGGACTCTTCATAAAGGTACTGAAGATGGCAGATATGATTCTGCCCTTGTTGGACACGAATATGAATGGATTTTTTTGTGAATTAACTGGTAATTTATGCCCCGCCTCACTACTGCTTCTCTCCTGATTGACCGTGTGCTTTCTGTGGATGCTCTTCACCCTCACGGATCACTCCTGTTGGCCTAGGGAGGGGGGAGTGTTTTAATTCATTCGTATGTGTGCACGTGTGGTGTGGGAGGGGAGTCGGGGGTAGTGAACACAGTAAAATGCCTTATTTATGTGTGCCGTGTAGATTTGTGTGCTGTTTCCAATATGGAGCACTATTGATGTATTGAACCTGAAAACTCAATGGGCCTCATTCATGAAACACGAGCAGAACGATTTTTTGTGTAAATCATTCGGAAAGTCGTTCTGACGTAAATTTTCGGATTCATGAAAATGTTCGTATTTTGAAAATGTTAGTTGGTACGAAAGAAATTTACACCTGCTCCCTACCACGTGTAAATGGTGCATAAAACATTCAAACGTTCGGTATTCTTTTAGACAAACTGATGACACTGCATTTTTATGAACTATGTATTAGAATGATATGTAACGAGTACATTTGCCCTGTCTTTTTTTCGTTTTTTACTCTTTAACTTTGGATAAAACGCAGAGCTCGTTACTGTCCCTTTTTACACAGCCGTCCAATCACAGTGGAGGAGGGGTGGGACTAAAATTACATTGACCAACCATGATCATACTTGTACAACATAACAATGGAGAAGTTAATATTGCTGGTTACTGAATTTTTATATTCAGTAATATTCTTCAAAATAAGATACTCGTAACATGTTACTGCGTGAATATTCCAATTCATAGCAAACAACGCGTCACTCCAGAAAAATGCAGTGCCTCCAAAGCTCTCTCAAGCACTACCAGCTGGTCGTTTTCAGAAGAGCACCAGGCTAATGTCAGCTGGCTAAAAACGCTCTGGTGGACACACGTTAATTTATTCATTTATTGTTAGGCATAGCCTTTCAGTCTCTTATGCATTTATGCTATATAACTTACCAAAACCTGAGAATTGAGTCCAAGGATTCCACACCATTCCTAGATACGTAATTTGTGTAGCTGTAATTCATAGGCGGGGAATATGCTAATTGTGAATGAGCGTGCATGCGCGCCCTATTTACGAATTATTGGAACTCATTAACATACACACATTTAACTATCAAATCTGACCTTTACGAAGTATTTGTGAATGGACGTAGTGCATAGACTTCAGTGAGGTTCAATTCAATATCACAAATTCTTATCACATATTCATTGACTCCAGCATCAGCTTGGCTAGTCCTCTCCTACCGTGCGTTGAGCTACAGTATGTTGTTCTATGCACCACCTGGGGGATATTGTGTGAAATGTATTTAAATTTTAAGAAGAGCACCTGCAGGAGACCGCTTGTCCATTAGGTTTACAAGTAGTAAATAGTAAATCATCCAGGTATTGCTTACATACTGTTACATGAAGACAAATGATTCTGATATACTACTCATCACATGCACTGTTTGTCTTAATATTATGGAAGTTTGCTGTTTCGGACACAGCTAGTACTTTTTTGGTTCCTAAATAAATAAGCATTTTTGAATGATTTGTTTGATTCAATGACTCGGTCCTAAAGATAGACACCTACTGGCACAATGACGTAAGCTGCAGATTGAGTCACTGTAAAATCTCATGCACGGATGCACAGGCTGACAGTCCGTCTGAAACAAACACGCAAACCAGCAAAACAGACAAGCAGAGAAAAGTCCCAGTGCTGTCGATCTGTCACAACCTGTCAGATTTGAGGATGGCTGTACAATGTTAAACAATGATCACAAGTCAACAATAGTTGAAGAGCCTCAGCAACCCTATTACATGTAAATCTTTGGTAATCGTTGATAAATGCACACTCACCACCTCCACTGAGCAGCGGACTGACTCTGTGCACAGTGCTTTGAGAGACCACAGGAAGTTCAGCGTCAGCGGATCAGTCTGCTCCCAACAGCTTATTAACAGGCGTACTTCGATGCTTTTTTTCAGAATCAAGGCTTCTCGGAGCATGTTGTCAATGCGTGACCAGTACCTGTTAAAGGACATAGAGTAAACATCAGTGTAATGCACTATACTGCTACTACTATCACTAGTGTTAGAAATCTAGTAGCCAAGGTTTGGCTTGTTAGCACGATCCCATTAGAACTGCTGGTAGATGTCATAACTACAGCATCTGATCTAAAAAAGCTTCTTCCTTTCTGCAAGGACATTTAGCAGGTATTCTGACAAAGGTATTTATACTGTATATCACAAAATTTTATTTCTTATAGTATGTTTTGCCAGTGACACATTCTCTTTTGGGGGCTCTTAAATGTGTGTAATGAACACATTTTTCCTGTCCGCTGTCTTTGACATCACAGCTCAGGATAATTACTAGGAAAGGCTTTGTGATGTCATTAGTCAATTAATGAGAGTTGGAGTGAAATTACATTTACTGTTCAGATGACTGGATTTAAAAATCGTTGTGTCCAAAATTCCCATGAGCCACTTTCAGATTAGCATGGTCCAGGTAAGCCTATTGCTTGAAGCTGGTGCAAATATCTTAGCCATTTATTCTGATAGATTACATTTCTTTGCAAGCATCATTCAAATCACAAGTATTATAGGGTAATTTTAATGTTAGATATTTTGGTCATATAACAGGACTCACTTGGGTTGGTTGCGGTTGAGCATTGGTAGATAGTTGGTTATGGAGATGTAGATAAATGTCTCAGCCTCTTGAATGACTCTGTTAATGGCCTCGAGGTCTTTCGTCCGTTTTTTTGGGCAGAAAACATCTGGAGAACTCTAGCACAACAAACGATAAAAAACTGAATTATTTAACAACATGTGTGCCCAATGTAGTCAGCTTTATCAGTCCTATGAAATAATACTTGCAGTGTATTTGCATACAGTGACGTCAGAAAAGTCTCTAAAATCCACATGAAAACTATGATCAACACTGGTCAGTTTCACTGCTGCTGAAGCTTAAGGTTATAAAACCACCACCAAACATAGACAAATCAAATGAAGGATAATTTCCGTGCACCAGGAATTGTTTCTGCTTCTACTAGACTTCAGTTAGATGGAAAATCAAAACACTTCTAACTCAACTCACTGAATAGTATGCTTTTGCTTCAGTGTCATTCAGATGTAGTTGAAGGTTGTTGTCTCTGTTATACAGAGCGTTCAGTTTCTTGGACCATATTGACGGCAAAAAATCTTTATACTGCAGTTGCCAGTAGAGGCTGAATATCTTGTGCAGGTCCAACACCAGACAGCTGCAGTTATAAATAATGATGCCCAACTCCTTCATCTGTGAAAATAACACATCACCTCACTCACCAGACCAATTAAATATTACTAAACAGAATGAAGAACATGCCATATCACATAACTCCAACATACAGATTAATAATCAAATTAACTAAATGGAATTAGTAAAGCAAAAAAAAAAACCTTTTTTTAAAAATTTGCATTTAAGAGTAGAGTTGTTCTTTACCGTAGACAGTGACCTCCAATCCATGCCAGCACTTCCTATGTACATGTGCTTCCTGTCCACCACCCAGAAGGAGGAGTTGAGCTGACCTTTAATGAGGGCTTTCATGTTCAGGTAATGCACTTCTGCACCTGGAGGATAAACGAACAAAACAGTCAATTATGAATCACTGGTTGTCAAATTGTTCACACTAAGTGCCATCAACAGGAAACGTTACCCAGCATAAGCTACTTTGGTGGGATTCCAAAACACAAGAACTCATAATGCTAATACAAAGACCCTTTGAACTGTTTTGGCATGATTTCACTTTCTCCTGATTTCTTGAGTCCTGCAAGATTCCAGCGGTCTTCCTGACTTTCTACTCCTCCAGATACCCCACTCTTGCCCTCTCCTATGTCTCATCTTGAGTCCCTGGGGTTTATTCCTAAGATTCCAGCTCATCCCAATTTAGATGGTTTTATTTGTCTCAAGTTTTTTATGAAGTCTGTAAAGCCACCAGTATTTCCCCGCAAAACCCCCAGTATTCCCTCTCTGTCTCTTTCTCCTCTCAGCCATAATTAGCTATACCAAGTCACTTCTCCCACTTTTCACTACTTCTCCCAAACCTTCAGTAGTCCTGGTTTCCCTGCTTTATCTCCTACCATTGCTCTCTAGTCTTCTGCTCCTGAGTGTCCAGTGGTCCTTCTTAATTTTTCAGGAATTCTTCCAAAGCCTGTTGTCTTCAGCTATCTAAAGTATCTGAGCAGATGAGTGCCAGGGAGAATCTGAGAAGTAGGAAAAAGCTCAAGGAGGGAACTTGAGGTAGATGTGGATAAATCTGTGAGTGAACCTAAAAAGAGTAGGTATACGCTGTTCCCCCACATTGGGGAAGTCTTTTTTTATTGATCTATTAAAATTTCTTGCAGGTTTACTTGGGTCACTGGTTAGAGAAGGGGAGTCCAATCCTGTTCCTGGAGATCTTCCTGCAGACTTCAGGTTCATCTATCAAGTGCTGCTGAAAAGATGATTTAGCTGGTTCAGGTGTGTTTGATCAGGGTTGGAGCTAAAATTTGCAGGACGGTAGATCTCCAGGAACAGGACTGGGCACCTTTGGATTAGAGTGTTCTCCACAAATCATGGAGTAACCTGTTTTAAAGTTATCAAATTCCTGTGTCTTTGCATCTTCACACTTGGTCCAAACACAAACAATCTTACAAGATGGTTTTGTTAGACAGTGGATGCTAAATAATATCATATACTTACCACTCTGAGTGAGTGCCTTGAGCTCTGAGGAATTAGTTAGTCCACTGACCACCTTCAAACTGACTGACCTAGACTGCAGACTCATCAACTGATGGAGTAAGATCTGACCCTGAGGGTGACAGAAGAAACAGTCACATTTAAATGCAGTCATATTGGGACGAATCTAGCTCTCTGTAAAAGAAACTCTCAGAGACGTAATCAGCAGAGGTGTTGACACTGCAGTATGTTGGGTGTTACCTGTTTGGCCTGGGGAGGTTTTGACTCATACTCGGTAGAGTTCAGTGCCCACCATGGTGACACGATCTCAACAGATCGATGTGCTTGATCCAAAAGCTCATGGAGACCAGCGGCCAGTGAAACTGTGTCCTTATATGGAATGGACAGTTCTTCTGGAATATTCTCAACTAGCACAACACTGTGAACACAATATAATCTATATTCAAGTGCAGGCAGGATTCACTGAGAACGGATATTACAAGGGTAATGATTTCCAATGATTTGCATAGGGTTATTACTGACCAATAATATTGTTTCCAGGTCCAAACCTCTACTCAGTTTCAAGTGAGAACACTCAACAGCCATTTATGAGCACTATTCATTTATATCACACCATTAATCTAAGCTTTTTAAAACTCACAGTGTATACTACAGTCTCTGGCCTTATGACGTCCCGGACACCAATATTTTAAAGATTCAGAAAATATGAATCACTGTGTGGCCAATTGAGAGTTTGGTTAGGATGATGATTTTTCAGTACTACTAAAGCTTACTGTGAGTATATATTAGCATTTTTAATTGTTTGCTACGTTGCTTTTGGGATCTGAAGGAGCATGTGAACCTGGAAACAGTGACACGTGATGTCTGTCAGACTTTTGGACTACTCCGTAGTTCTTCCTGTGTTTTCTTTTATGGTCTTTTTCCTGTTCTTGTTTAGTTTGATTACTTTATGATTCCATACACCTGTGTTCCCCTGATTGCCCTGTGTTCACAAACCCCAGTTTGTTCCGTTTGGTTTTGTCAGGTCTACTCGTTGTGAACGTCTTCCTTGTGCTCTGTGTCTCCCTGTTGGATTATTAAAGACTCTCATTTTGTGAAATCTCCACGTCTTCTCGTTCCTCCCGTAAGCTAATTGTGACAGAAGACCCGACCAATACAGTTACCTCCGTGTGTCTACCCTCCATTTTTGTTTCCGTTTTTTCTCTCATTGTTTTTGTTTCCATTGTGTTTCCCCTTATGAATCCCTTCACCCGCCCGGAATTCCTCCTCCTCCTGCTGGAGCAGGGGGACAGATCTCTCGAGGACCATACGAGACTGTTCCGGCTGTTAGCTAGCACCACCAGCTACCCAGACGACACGCTCTGCTCATTCTACGACGCTGGTTGGAACATCTCGTGCAGAGCGCTGTCGTCGGAAGATGGTCCTCGAGCGAATTTCGCCGCCTTTGTGGAGTGTCTCCCGACCCAGTGCCCAGCCCACCATCTCCCTGATGCGTGGAGCGCATGCCCGAGCCCACCGCTGACGGAGAGCCGGAGCCCGCCGCGACCGACAAGCCATCGCCGCATGGAGCGACAGTGCTGAGGATCGCCGCGGAGCCAGAGCAGCTGATGACGTCAGTCAAGGTGTGTGAGCTGGCAACAACGCCTGCCACGAGGGAGAGTGCCACGGACGGTGTGAGCGCGGAGAGGAGCTCCGTCCCCCGCACCGCGGCTGAGGGTGTGCTGAGTATGGCGCGGCGAAGGTGCCAAAACGAAGAGGAGAGGGCTCCAGCCCCCGAATCCAGTCCAGAGCGCCCTCCAGTGCACGCTCCTAGAAAGTGCTCACAAGTGTCCGCTCCTCCAGAGCGCAATCCTGTTCCCGTGTTCAGTCAAGAGGGGGCTTCCAATCAAGAGTTAAGCCCTGAATGACTGTTTAGTTGTGTTTTGCCCCTGTCTTTGTTCCTGGTGTTCCTTATATGGTCTTTTTCCTGTCCTCGTTTAGTTTAATTAGTCATTCAGTTCACCTGTGTTTGTTAATTATCCCTTGCATTTAAGTTCGAGTCTGTGCTGTCTGTCTTTGTCCGAGATTGTACGTCAACCCTGGTGTTCCTGTGCTCCTGTCCCCGTGTATTCCCTTGGATGTTGGATTAAAAGACTATTGTGTTCGTTTACGCCTTGTCTCCTCGTTCCTTCCCAGAGTGAGCGTGACAATACCCTATAAACTATTGTTTCACACAATAAATAATTAACTAGATTATAGGTATTCCTTTGTTTAGATCACAAACATGTAGTAATATATATATTTTTAAACAGATTTTAATAGTGCTCGGGGACAAGAGTAAAACAACACGGCCTATAAAATAAAAGGCATTTTAAAAAAAGTCATAAAAAATGATAAAGACAACATAGATGTACCTTCATATAACAAAAAAGAAGGATGATAATGATAACCAAGGATGATAAATTTAGAACCCTGTCAAACCCTGAAGACACAGAACATCTAGTTTTGTCAGGTCTACTCGTTGTGAACGTCTTCCTTGTGCTCTGTGTCTCCCTGTTGGATTATTAAAGACTCTCATTTTGTGAAATCTCCACGTCTTCTCATTCCTCCCGTAAGCTAATTGTGACAGAAGACCCGACCAATACAGTTACCTCCGTGTGTCTACCCTCCATTTTTGTTTCGGTTTTTCTCTCATTGTTTTTGTTTCCATTGTGTTTCCCCTTATGAATCCCTTCACCCGCCCGGAATTCCTCCTCCTCCTGCTGGCGCAGGGGGACAGATCTCTCGAGGACCATACGAGACTGTTCCGGCTGTTAGCTAGCACCACCAGCTACCCGGACGACACGCTCTGCTCATTCTATATCCCTTCACCCGCCCGGAATTCCTCCTCCTCCTGCTGGAGCAGGGGGACAGATCTCTCGAGGACCATACGAGACTGTTCCGGCTGTTAGCTAGCACCACCAGCTACCCAGACGACACGCTCTGCTCATTCTATGACGCAAGCTTGAACACCGCGAGCAGAGTGCTGTCGTCCGAAGATGGTCCTTGAGAGGATTTCGCCGCATTTGTGGAGAGGATTCTGGCGAGAAACGGATCACCTCTCACCATCTCTCCCAAGGATGATCTCGCCAGATCCACTCCTGACCTAGAGCCCAGCCCACCATCTCCCCGCAGTGCGGAGCATAAGCCCGAGCCCACCGAAGACGGAGAGCCCATTACCGCAGCGATCAACGAGCCAGCGCAATGCCGAGCGACTGAGCGGAGGATCGCCTCGGATGTGGAGCCCGACCCGTCAGACCAGGTGCGAGAGCCGGCGACAGTGCCCACAGTGAGTGAGCAAGCCGTGGACGGTGAGAGCACGGAGTGGGACTGCTGGACTTAGAAGGGGACCTGATTGACTGGGAAACAGATCTGGAGGTCGTCTTGCCCCCTCTCCTCTCTCTTTTGTCCCCGCTGGTCCCATCCAGCCCTGAGGGGACTCCCGTTTTCCAGTCCAGCCAGGAGTGGGCTATGATCCCCGAGGGCAGCCCTGAGAGCCCGGAGACTCACGAATGCCCACCCACCTGCCCGCTCCTGCCTCCTCCACCCCTGTCGTCTGGCAGACCCTCTGCTCGCCCTCCGCCCACCATCAATACGGAGCGAGCTCCGTGG